GTATTTTTTATTTAAACAAAAAAATTTACGGAATTAATAATAACTAAATCAAGTACATTTCATGGATTATATTGCGTAATTTTATAATAATTTATCATAATGGATTATATTCATAAATATGGATATTCATTATAACATTTATTTTAATTTGTGTTATATATATATTATTATTATTAAAATCTTGACGTAAAAAGATGGAAAGATTTGTTTGAATTAAAATTTTGACGTACAAAATTTTTGACGTAAAAGATTATATTATTTGTTTGACGCAAAAAAAATTTCAAGAATTTTTTTTGTATCACGTTGGTATGGACCGAATTTTAATGGAAAGATTTATGGTGATGATAATTATGTAATGATGCTATCACACAACAATCTCCACTTATTAACTACTTTCCACTTATCTTATCATCATAAAAATTTCGGTCCATACCAACGTGATAATCATTTGTGTTTGGATTGACCGAAATATATTCCATTTGAATTCAATGTCATTCATTTAGAAAACATAACAAATAGCGAGTCCTGCGGTGGATAAATCACGAGAGTTAACAATCTGCTAAATCACGTTTTACTAATCTTATCATGATATTAGAGTTTGAATTTATTGAAACTCTGAAATTAAAATCACGTGCAAAGAATCTTATCAAGAGAGATTAACGTGAGTCCAACTAATCTTATCATCTAATAGTTATCTACTTTCATCCCATGGCTATAAAATAAACGTCGGAGCCTATATCACGTATCAGAAAAATCTCACACTACAATTTCACATACAAATAGAAAAATGGCGAGAGCATGGGGAAACATCAAGCAAGTAACAAGGACCAACAGGCCAATGCTCAAGTTGAGGGTGGTTCGAGTTTTTCAAAGGACTAATCAATAATCATCCTACAAGAACATCCTTGAAATTATCTTTTATGACATTGAGGTTTAATTCATAATAAAAATAATGATTATCCATTTTTCTCATCATGTTAATTATAATATCTAATATCTAATATTATTTTTCTTTTTTTTTTCAGGGAAGTCGAATTACTGAAATAGTAAGAGCAATCAACATCCCAACTTTCATCAATGAATTCGAAGAAGGTGTTGTCTATGCATTTCGAAACTATCAAGTCGAGAGTAATATCGGAATTTATAGATCCACCATTGCACGATACAGGCTTATACTACATGGTAGAACCGAACACATAAGCTACAAGGGTGACTTTCCAATTTTCCGTTTTGACTTTCGAAGGTTCAACACATTGATTGATATCGAGAAAATCGACAAATCAATGCTATTTGGTAACTGCATTTTCACTTACTTAATTTTTTGTATAAGCATGAGTTTTTTAATAGTATCAAGTGTTCCGGAATACCTAACCATGAGTTGTATTTGATGATTGGAACTCCAGTCATGTTGTTGCGGAACATGGATCATTCTATGGGTTTGTGTAATGGGAAACGATTGGTAGTGACAAAGCTATCAACTCACGTTCTTGAGTATAAGATACTCACAGGAGATCATGCTGGTGATAAGGTGTTGATTCCAAGAATGACAATAACTCTTTCTGATGTTAGAATTCCTTTCAAGTTCCAGCGGCGACAGTTTCCCGTTATGGTTTCTTACGCCATGACTATAAACAAGAGCTAGGGACAATCTTTATCTCATGTTGGTTTATTTCTTAAGAAATCAATGTTCAGTCATGATCAGTTATATGTTGTTGTTTCCCGTGTCACTAACCGAAAAGGTTTGAAAATCTTAATTTGTGGCGAAGATGATGTGCCAAAGAATCAAACCAATAATGTTGTATATAGGGAAGTGTTCAATAATATATGATTTTTTCAATTTAATGATATGCTTATATGTCTATTATTATGATCATGATCATTGCCTGCAAAAACATTATAGATAATAATATCCCCGTGCATCGCACGGGTGACTACTAGTTTTCATAAACTAGCCCCTAATCAATTCACACCCAAATGACCCAAAATTACATTTCACCAACATCATCCACACAATTCCTTCACATTCACAGAGATCAACAAATTAATTTGCATCTAAATCAAAATTCACCCAATATTCCAAAGGCCCCATATTTCACAATTCACACAATTCCTTCACAGAGATGATGCAACTCCTCAGCCCAAATCATGATGCAATTCCTCAGCTCAACCGTATTTCCCAATTCCTTCACAGAGATGATGCAATTCCTTCACCTAAATCAAAATTCACCCAAATCATGATGCAATTCCTCAGCCCCAATAGTATTTCCGTCCGCCGCTTCCCATCTCCCATTCAGATCGCCGGCGAGCTCGTCCTGTTCAGGTCGCAATCCATCTACTATTCTTCTGCAACTCGCCGGAATGGCGGCCCTCACCGTCGGGCTGAGCGAGTTTGAGACAGTGGCGGGTCACGGTGGTGGCAGTGCTAGGATGGATGACGACGCTCGACGGGATGTTAACGGCCGCGACGAGAGAGATTAGGTAAATGGCAGTGGCCGGTGGTTTGGGGTGGGTTGATTCCGGCGTGTCTGGGAGGACGGGAGATGGAGGACGCTGCAGGGGATGGCTGACAGCGCTCGTCTGGATGGTAGCGACGGCAGTCCGGTGATGACGGCGATGACCGGTGGTTTGTGGGCTGGTTTTCGTCGACCGCTAGAGTGTGTGTGTGTGTGTGTGTGTAATTGAATCTGTATGTTAGGGAGAGATAGGAATAATAAATAATAAAGGGTGGGTCCATGTGGTATAGGTGTAATTACCCAACTTACCCTTAATTATTCGTCAAAAGTACATATTTGACCACAATAATTCAAATAATTACAAAATTCATTAATGATTGACCATTATTTATGAAAGTTTGACTTTGGTCATTGACTTGATGGATCCAATGATCCAGACTCATTCTCATTTCTCGCATTAAGCGCCATTCTTATACGATCCTTTCTCTCTCTCTCTCTCTATATATATATATACATACATATTTACAAGTTAAAGAGATAGTGTTTACTGAGAGAAGATCTTTGATTTAATTTGTTACAAATATTTCCTTAACTGGCGGATGAGAGAGAGGAAATATACCATTTTTAAGCCACCATTTAATTAGATGATAAATTCCTATTTATGTTACATAGTTTGGTAAAGATGCAAATACTTTCCTATTTATGTTACATAGTTTGGTAAAGATGCAAATACTTTTACAATAATGTAAATATGCAAATATTTATTTTACAGATCAGCAGATTTGTAAATTCGCCATTTTATATACTCTACTCAAAAAATAGTTAATACTCAATTAATTAGATAAAAATAAATAAAAAATAATGGGAACACAAATAAGGGAACAAACTAGATAATCGGAAAAAGAATCATTGTTCTTGTTTATTTTGGTGAAAGTAAATCTAGTCTTTTTTTATTAGATTTTATATAAAAATTAAAAATTGAAACTTGTAGTTAATAGAATGTTGTTTCTTAAAAGACTATTAACATATTTAAATTTGTGTGTGGCTGATAACTTGTAGGGTTCTTAAAAAGTTTGATATACTAGATAAAACTTTTATACGTTATAATTTATTTTTTTATGTCAAATTATGGAGAAATATTTTTATAAATAGTCTTTACAAAAAAGTGTGAAAATATTTCAAAAAATTGACTACTTTTGTCCTAAATATATTTGAGGCGAATTATAATATTGTTAGGTCAAAAGAAAATGTAAAGACCTTATTCTAGAATCATACCAAGCTATTAAAACTTATAAGAATTTCTATGAATGTGTATTTTGTATTTATATTTTATTGTGATGTATTATATTTGTTTTCTAGAACAAGTATGCCCCCACGAATATTATGAGCTAGATCCGCCCGTATGGCATAACAAATTAAAAAAACACGACAAAAATAAATAAATGAAAAAAAAAAATCTAAAACAAATAGTATATGATTCATTTTCGTATTGCCATGTCGCATCTACACAATAAAGTCGACTAAGGGATAACATAAATTAATTTATAAATACCAGTATTTCATAATCTATCTATATATAAAAAGGTTGTTGTTAAAATACCTTTTTAGAAACTTTTGACCAAAAAAAAAATCTTTGACATTCTACATATAGAAACCATATTTAAAGCATCTATACTTATATAATAAGAATTAACATTTATCCAAAATAGTAGGTCAAATTATGGTCAATGTCGAATTTGCATTAAGTATTTTCCAAAACTGGTAAGTTTTTGTCCTTTTCACACTTCTCATTAATTATGTCCTTTTCACACTTCTCATTAATTATGTCCTTTTCACACTCTCATTAATTATGTCATTTTCACACTTTTCATTAATTATATCATTTTCACACATCTAATTAATTCATTAATTACAACATAATTATCATAAATCATTCCATCTGAGCTTTTATCGTTAAAATGTATAACAATTTGTTATGACCTTATCTCATTGATATTTCCATGAAGCGTCCTTATCGCGTTCTATTTTTTGGTAACCACTCTATATCAATAACCGGATATTTAATTAATGATAGCACACGTCTTTATTTCAAGGAGCAGATATTCTTTGACCTTTAATTAATCTGAACTGATTGCCTTGACTTTTCATTTTTTAAAAACTCTTTTTTTAAATATTTCGGCTTAAGATTCGGATTTCATTATACAAGTCATCGGATTGTTTGAATGAAAATGAATGAAAAGAACACCAAAAACAGGTAGCCTTATTCATATAACCAATCCTAAAATATTAGTTTGTTCACCAAAAATAGACAAATCCTAGAAATCCTAAAATATTAGTTTGTTCACCAAAAATATTAGTTTGATTTTTAGGATTTGTCTCTTTTGAAAATATTAGTTTGTGATAATGAGGAGTTACCAAATAATCAAACTCATAATGTTGTGTACAAGGAGGTTTTTAATAATATATGATTGTTACCGAACTTTTTATGATTCAACAATGTTCCTATGTATTTTAATGATTTAAATTTCGATCCTAATGCACGTGAGGTTATATTATTCTTTCAAATTTTACATCCCGTGCATCGCACGGGTTACGTACTAGTAACAATAATAACAAATAACATTAGGTGCTGTATGCAGGCAAAAGTACTAACAGCAAAATGCCAGGGAATAATTAATAAAACAAAGCCTCCTAAAAAAACACATGATAATTTACCTAACTCACTGTAATGTCATCTTGGCTAACGCTTGATCAACCACGACCTTGTCTCTACTGCTTCACCATATCAATAATATGAATCCCTAACCTCTTTCTCGCCGGAGGTAATCTTATCTTAGGTAGTGGCCACCTGCAAGAAAATAAGACAGGCGAATAAATACATGTCCACCAAAAACCAAAATAAAAAATAAAAAGAGGAGGAATAACAAATGAACATTTGACAAAATTACTTGTTAAATTTATTCGGGTGAACCGCATCAACAACCATGGTTATATCCCACTTGGAACCATCCCTTGGCCGTAGCACATCCAAAAGCACAGATTGTCCAGCTTCGTCCCATATCAACTCAAAGAGCTAATAGATGACACAATTAAAAAGAAATAACTACAGCTACTACACAAACATTTCGACTCAAAAAGTTATGTATTGTACCTCCAATACACTCCTAATGGATTTTCCATCACATCCCACGATGATATCGAGAGGCAATAACTGATCACGAGGAAGCTCCTTATAAGGGCGCTCACTAAGGTCCTGATCCACAAGTTTAAGAGTTGAGATCTAGACAAAACCAACTCTAGGATCAAAGTAAAATATAAGTTTGTTGGGGGAAAGAGCAAACCTCTTTGACAAAAACGCCGTCAAAAGTATTTGGAAAAGTTTGGATCAAAAGCTCCAAGTCATCTGCTTCCAATTCATAAATGTTTCTCAACACAACTCCAATCTGAGGTACAAGACAGGACCTAAACCAAATGCAAGTTAGTATACTTATATTACATCCTTGGCAGAAAGATCTTAACAATACATTGTATGACATGGTCAATAAAACTAGTCAAAAGTGTAACGAGCCCACAAGAACTCTCTTTACAAGCGAGGGAACAATAGATGTAATTGAGTATGTACATAAAACGAAAACCACTATCGGCCAAGCCTCAACCACCGTGCCAGTATGTCTCAATCTATCAGGTTATCTTAAACACACTGAACCAGAATTTGATGGCATCAATTCCCGGATAGAGTGTGGTTTTTCCTTTAAAAGAAATAAAAAATAATTCATAAATCACAGCCAAAGCAAAACAAAGGTATCAACCCTAAAGAAAAATTTAAAACAACTGTAGCTGCTATTCCTCAAATATTCTACTCATAGCTACTGTTTAATAATAAATAATACTAAATGAACCACCCATTGTTACTTGATTTCAGATCTTTGTAACTACCACAATAATTTTTTTTTTTTTTCTTGAAATGTTTCTGCAGAATTCGTTTGTTCTTGTTCAAGGCTTAAAGCTCTATATACTATAATTCAATCCACACAAAGTATATAGTCATACCCAATTTTTCAAGATTTAGAGCGTACCCAATTTTATTAAACCTCTCCCACCACATTGAAACTATGTTGATGGGAAGAAATGGTGTAGAAAAACCGGAGTAAAAGTTGATCCCAATCACTTCTCCATCCAAATTGACGAGTGGTCCCCCAATACCATACTATCATCAAAAGACATGTATGAGTAGTAGATGAGAACAAATAAATACAAAAATTAAAGAGAAAACACCTGAAAAAGAAAAAACTCAACTATCCTTGACTGAGAGTGATTAGTAATTATGATAGATAGTAGGTGCCATATGCTTCTATCGAGGACACATTATCATAATTCATGAAGGGCACGTGGCAACCTTTTGAGCAATTGGGAGCATAGATATTAACAAACATTCTAAACAGAAAACATAAAGTGCATACTATTATCAAGATGATCAATAACTTAGTTTAAAAGGCATACCTAATATAATATGCATAACCAAAAGATGCTCTTACCAAAGAAATTTTCATATCTGCCCTGAAAAGCTCTTCACAATCCAGTTCAGACACATTGCCACTAGAAAAGGCAAAAATGGGGAAGATTAGAGCAGAACAAATGTACCAAACAAATTCATAATTACCCTATCAAGATGGTAAGTCATATAATACCTAAATTTCCCATCAACCACCATAAGTCCATGCTCATCAGCATGATTACGACCAAGTGCAACCACAACATCCCCAGGAACTAAATTGAATTTATTAGACTGAGGATCGAATTTAGGTGGTTTTTCATCCAACAGGTCAGGATCTATGTTAATAGAATCATTTATATGCCTGAGCTTTGATGTTGGGATTGGGACATCCGTTTCAATCTTAAGCACCCCGATATTGTAATGGAAATCCCAGCCAAAAACCTTAGCCTCCAATGTGATATCATTAAATAGAATGACACTTATCTATCAAAAATTACAAATCATTAATATCATATTGAGATTTATTACATAATTGAAGAAACATAATTATATGAACCTTGATATTCTCGGCCACATCATCAACATCACATTCGGGTCTTAGGATGGTAGCTGATGTAAAGATTGTACTGATGAATTTACCTTCTTTGACAACCGATTCCACCACAAATCCCGAGCCACGAATTGCTTTTGTATCATCTTAAAAAAAAAACATTGAATAAAGTTAGTATACATGCAGGCATGCAAAAGCACTCTTTAAATGGAAAAAACTACATACACAACCTAAATAAGAAAGGATGCCAACAACGGAAGTAGATGCTTCTAGAGCGACCCTCTTTAGATCAAAGCTCAAATTTGAGGAGCAATTGGAAAATGAATCTATTTAAAACACAAAATGTGAGAGTGTAAGGAAAACGATTAGAAAACTAAAAAACGGAAGGAAAAAAACATATCTCACGCTTTCTATGAGGCTTCAGATTCCATGGATAATCCTGCGTTCGACTCTCTTTCACCATATCCAGTTATGCTGTTGAGTAGTTCACAAATGTTAGCATCAAACACCCTTGATTCTTTATTTTATATTCATAGTTTGAACTAGGGGTGAGCATAGATCGGTACGGTTCGGAGATGGATAAATCTCGAGAACCGTACCAAAATTCGGAGATTACTAAATTCGATCTCCAAAACCGTACCAAAAATGGGGACGATTAGGTTCGGAGATTTTTATTTTTCGGTTCGGTTCGGCATTCAGGACTATCGGATTGACTAGATTCGGTTTGGTTTGGTTCGAATCTCCGGAGGTTCCTAATTATTTTATATTTTTTTTAATGACTACCTAGTTATATTTTAATTTTTATATGCTTTAAAAAAATCCAACATTCATCAATACTTCATCATATTAAAGATTTTAAATAATATTTTTAAAACATGAAAAATTCAATTGTAGATCAAGTATTGCTAAGACACACATTATCCAAAGTTTACATCCCATAATTCTAAATACAAATCCCATAATTCACAAACCACAATTCCATGCGACATATTTTAAATTTAGTTGTGAATTTTTCATCAATACATGTGTAATACCAAAAAGCATTGAACTTTGCCGTCTTCGAGCAGTGGATGTCGACGTGTCGTAGTATTATTATTAACCTGATTGATATTATGGTAAAAATATCTATAAATTTATTTCTATTTGAAAATATATCATCTTTAAATAAATATTTCTCTCCAAATTTTGTGAAAGATTTTCTCATAAATGCCGGTTTCCAAACATTCTAAATTTGAATTTGGTTCATAATTAATGATTTTTTAATAAAATTTGACACGTTGGTTACCAAAACTTGTGATAGGAAAAGTATATTAATTTAATTTCTTTTCAAACTAATGTCTCACATACAGTAAGAAATAATGTAATTATTTTTTCAACCATTTAATTATATTAACATTTAATAGTGGAGGATTTTTGCAACTCAATTTTAAATATAATATATGATAGTTTATGAACATAGACCTAATGTATATGGATTTTATATGCAATTCAACTTTACATACAAATATGTACAAAGATGAAAAGAAAGCATAAGATGACATATTATATATATATATATGAATTTTATGAATTAAAATCGGTTCTTGTTCGGTTCTCGATTCGGTATGGCTTTTCTTGGTTAGGTTCGGTTTGGTTCGATTCGGTTCTCGGTTTGGATATTTTATGAATCTCCAGAACCGTACTAAATATTTTTTCGGTATGGTTCGGTTCGGATAAAGTCACACGGTCAACGGATATTTTTCGGTTCAGTGTGAATTTGGTCCAGTTTTCGGAACAGTACGATAATCTCCGAATCCCGTGCTCAGCCTAGTTTGAACTAATACCAGAAATATTTAGTCAATCCTTACTCCTTTGAGCTACCGAATTGCAGCTTATAAGCTATTATATAGAATTAACAATCACTTATTACTTTTTAGAACTCATTAATATTGTTGTCCATTGCAAATGGAGCTGGAAGAGTCATTGTTGACAATTCTCCTGGCATAGTGCTAATAATGGACTAAATCAAAATGGCTCAATTAAATTCTAGTGCTTCTTCAGTGAAGTTTCTAGAAAAAAAAAAATATATCAAACGGCGTAATGCACCTTGGGTCGCTACGGAAACAGCCTCCTTGTATAATTACAAGGGTAAGGTCTGCGTACAACTGACCCCCCAGACCCCAACTTGTTGGGAATATACTGGGTATGTTGTTGTTGTTGTATATATATATATTAGAAATATATATACTCCCTCCTATTTTATTATTTGTCATTCTAACTTAATTGATCATTTGTTAAATAAATGTCATTTTGGCTATTTTGTAGATATTTTTCCATTATTACCCTCATCTAACTAATAAATACACTACGTCTTTTCATATTCACTCTCCATCTTTTCTCAAAACATCCATCGCTATCCTTATTAATGAGGGTTATTATTGGCAAAAAAAATATTCTTAATTACTGTGCAATTTTTCAAAACGACATTTATTAAAAATATGAGGGAGTATGATATTTTATGTATTTTTTTTATAATTCTGCTTATTAAAGTAATATATATATATATATGTTAGAAATATGATATTAGAGTTGAATAGACATAGTTGTTGTGAACTTTAGTATAACTAGTAATCGACATGATTTTAGGTCTCAGGGAAAACTTGAAAGTAGGAGCAAATTTTACAAGAGGATCAGTCATGGTGAAAAAAGGTAAGTAATATTTGGCTAGTCTCTAGTTGAGAAAATTTAAGGGAAATGAAAGGACAGATAAACCTTAGCAAACTTTGGCTATAAGATTACAACTCTCTAACCAAAATCGCATAAGGTAGAGAAAGAAACTACATTACCTCGAGTGTAAGTCCCAATTCAAAAGAAACCTGGTCAAAAAGAAAAAGAAAATACGAATGAAAAATTAACCCAAAACAAAAAAATATATGGGAATTAAAATAATAATTATAATAACAACTATGATGATGATCATCATAGTTCTTAAAGTCAAATAGCGAGCCGCTGAGCCGTAGAGATTTGTGCGTGGCCTGGCCTCGAGGAGCATGGCGAGGTCGTGGCGCCGCCTCATGAACATGCCACCACAGTTAGGGAAAACAAAAGAAAACAAATGATACAATACATATTAACTTGTATATTGCAGAATCATCTTCAAATATCCTAATCATAGAACTCCACACAAGTCATTGGCATTTAGCACTTACAAAAAAAAAAAGACAAAAATGAAACAGAGTCAACAATCAATAAACATAGAGAAAATCCATCACGATTCAAGTTTAAAATAAGCAGGGGAGGCCTGATCAGAGCTTGTTAGGGAGGTGGTATCTATGATTTGATCATGATGACGACAACGGCAAAGGGAAACGGCGATGATCATGATGACGGCATTAGTTTGATCTTTGAATCAATACGCATAATGGAAAGAACCTGATTTCACTTTTACTATAAGCAAGGCCAAAAAGCATACGATTCTGAGTGAAATAAATGCACCAACATAAGAGTATTTTGCATTTAACTAGTTGGCTCCTTGATGAATTTGTGGCAGACACTAGATTGCTTTGTGAAGAACACAAATTTTGCAAAATTAGATACTTCCATATATGTCCACATATCAAAATATTCTAATAGAAGGACCTGTGTCCTAGCATTTATCAGACTCAACATGATGACACAAAAGGTACACGGGTCATAACATTACTACCAAGGAAAGACAGAAGAAGCAAGGTTAAAAACTATTAGGAGCATATTATTTGAGATTTGAGTTGAGCAGGGAAGTCTGTCTAAGTTATTTCGAAACTCAAGCTCGGAGCTTGACTTGAAAATCTGTAGGGTTACCTTGCGGCAACCAATAATTCATAAGATAAACTACAACCATAATGAGCCCCAATTATCTTATCTAAACCAATCAACCACAAAAGGATGTCCGTATGCAATGCTGAAGAACCTTTCCCTAAACTCGCACTTTCTCAAGCATCTTTAACAAAAAGAAAATTCAATTTGAAGAAAACAAGCACAAATTAAACCTCAGTAATCGGAATGACGTCGTACCAAACTAGAAAACCCAGCGCAATTGATTCTGCATAAATTAGTGAACGGAAAGCTTGGAGAGAGGAGGAAGCTGATGGTAGGGCTTTCCGAAATCCGAAGTAGGGCTTTATTTTTATATCGAGCAAAGATGATGATATATCTTCTATTAGGGTGAGTTGGTTACGATTGAGCTTGATTAATTCACATAAACNNNTTTTGATAAAAAAGAGACATTTATTTGTTCAGTTCATAATTGATAAGTATAGCTTTATGCAAAGATTACTTTTTTACCCTTAACTTAAAATTAAATTTTTTTGGGGTTGCCTTTCATCTCCAATATAAAATTTTACATAAATTAAGATTTCTGTAAGGATGGCAGCGGTTCGGTTTCGGTTCGGATATCCGCGGTTTTTGGTTCTGCGGTTTTCGATTTTGGTTCCAAATTTCACCCACGGTTTTGCGGTTTCGGGTACCCGAAAGTCTTCAGTTTTGGTGCGGATCCTATATTTCGCCCGTGGTGCTCCGTTGGGTGCCCAAAATAGACGGCCCATCAAAAAGCCCACCAAAAACCCTAGCTATATAAGTGGAAATTTCCTCTGCCTCTTATCCTCTCCCGTGCCTGCGTGACCAACAGCCGCACCGCCACCAACATCCCGACTAAAAAAAAATGCCGACCGAACTCTTCTCCTCTCCCGACTCCCGTGCGTGAGTATGTGTGTATGTGTGTGTGCCTGAAGGCCTTGAACTTCTATTTCTATGTTTCTGGAGTCTGGACATGGGCTGGGCACATGGCTTGGCTTAGCTATGTACTCTACTACCTTTATGGCTTGTACTGTACGTTGGTACTTGCTAATTTGTGACTGGTTGCCTGGTACTCTTCCTAAGTTGTCATGTTTTATGTTGTTGTCTTTGGTGTTTTATTATAATATTTTTGGTTTTTTGGGTATCCGTTTGGTTTTTGGGTATCCGCGTGTTTTGGTTTTGGTGAAGGATTTTCACCCGAAACAGTTTTGGTTTTGGTTTTGGTTTTTAAGTTTGGGTTTTGGTTTTGGGTGCCCTGAGGTTCCATCCGATCCGAACCCGAACCGCTGCCATCCTTAGATTTCTGCAACAAAATTTAGAAAATAATGTACTATTGATCATTCCAAATCGCATAAATTAAAGATTTCTTCACCAAAGCACTGGAGTAATCCACTAGCCGGGAAGGGGCCTAGAAGTGCCTACTACTACATCACACTACACTTGACTCCACACATTTAAGAAGCTAATCCCTTTCCAGTGCCTGGCAGAGCGGAGGTCAATGTAACCTTCCCGAAGGGTCTTTTTTTTCACGCTTTGCTTTGTTTGTATGGTCAAGTCTCACTTTCTCCTTACTCTTTATCCCCATCTTTGCCCATTTGAGGGTACAAACGAAGGCAAGATGGCTAATGGCCTTCTACAGCTTTTAGGGTTCTTTCTTTGTCTTTTCTTTGCAGATGATCTATTTCGTTTTTTGCCGTGCGTGAGAGCAGTAAGGACAGGTTCGTAGAGAAACTTAGAGTTGTTTTTGTGACGGAGCCGCTTTCCAAACTGGTATACCTGTCTCATCACGGACGAAGTCTCTATCTTTCTCCAACCAGAGATTTGAAATCGCAGACGAGGGTCGATGTAATTGAGCTTTCAGTGAGGTCTAAATGATTTTAGACATGTTTTCCTCAAAAAATAATTTAAAAAATATGAGATGACTTCACATCTTTTTAAAGAGTTTTCGACATGTTTTCTTTACGAAATATTTTAGATAAAATTTAGGTTACTTCACATCTTTCAATAATGATGTACCTAAACTTTTAGATAATTTTATCTATGTTATATAACATTTTAGGCGTTTTTAATATTTTGAATATACATTTTTTTAAATTCTTTTATACAAGATAATTTTATGTTGTTTACAACTCATATATGATAAATTAAATCACATATTGACTCCACATATTTATTTTATAATTATTAGTTAATATTGTTTAACTTCATCATTAATTTATGATTATTAGTGCTTACCCTTGCATCGCACGAGATACGCACTAGTTTTGTTAAAGATCATAATTTATACGCACTAGAAAACCGAATGACCTGCCGCTAAGGTAGAAAATCAAATGAACTGCCAATGAGGTTGAATACCGAATGGCCAGCCACTGAGGTAGAAAACCGAATCACCTGCCAATGAGGTAGAATACCGAATCACCTGCCAATGATGTAGAGAACCGAACGACCTGCCACTTAGATAGAAAATCGAATGACCTGCCGATGAGGTCAAAAATCGAATGACCTGCCAATGAGGTAGAAAATCGAATGACCTGCCAATGAGGCAGAGAATCGAACGACCTGCCACCGAGATAGAAACTGAATTACCTGCCACTGAGGTAGAAAACCGAATGACTTACCAATGAGGTCGAATACCGAATACTGTCAATGTGGTAGAGAACCGAACGGCCTGCCACTGAGGTAGAAAATCGAATGACCTTCCGATGAGGTCGAAAACCGAATAACCTACCATTGAGGTAAAAAAACCAAATGACCTGCCACTGAGGTATAAAACCGAATGACCTAACACTGAGGTAGAAAACCGAATGACCTGCCAAGGATGTCGAAAATTGAATGACCTGCCACTGAGGTAGAAAACGGAATGAGTTGCCAAAGAGGTAGAAAACCGAATGACCTGCAAATGAGGTTGAATACCAAATTACCTGCCACTGAGGTAGAAAACCGAATGAACTGCCAATGAGGTCGAATACCGAATGATCTGCCAATGAGGTAGAGAACCAAACGACCTGCCACTGAGGTAGAAAACTAAATGACCTACCAATGAGGTCGAATACCGAATGACCTGTCAATGAGGTAGAGAAACAAAACGACCTGCCACTGAGGTAGAAAATAAATGACCTACTAATGAGGTAGAGAACCGAATGACCTGCCACTGAGGTAGAAAATAGAATCACGTGCCACTGAGGTAGAAAACCGACTGACCTGCCAATGAGTCGAATACCAAATGCAGACCCGGCCCAGGCCCAGGGCGACCTGGGCGACGGTCCAGGGCCCAACTGAAGAAAGGGGCACCAACCCAAGATGTAGTTATATGACATCTATGTATACAGTAAAGGGCCACTAAATTACTATAGGGCTCTATAACATATATGTATATGACAAAGGCCCAATAAGTTACTATAGGGCTGTATGAAATTAATGTAATGGGCGATTAAAATATAAGAAAAAGCACAAGGGCACATTGGCGGATGAGAAAAATTTCGGGAATTCACAGCGCCTTTTTCCTTTGACTTGCGGGTCTGTGCTCTCCTCCCTTTTCTTTTTTTTAAGAAAAAAAACCTCCAAAATCAATTCTGCCAAATTGTTTCCTTTTGAGAGTCTATACTTTTTATTTCAAATGATATAATTTTCCTCATTTTATAGGAAAAAAATTGTTGGATAAATGTGAGATTATATAAATTCCATCATTTTGTTTTACAATAAACAATAACTATACAACACCCGTGTATTACATGGGTTTATGTTCGCTTTTATAACTTATATCATATAACTACTTGAAATATAAATATTTTTATTTTTCTAATTAATATTAAAAAATAATTTTATTATTGTTATAAAGATAAATATAATTTATTTTCTTAACATACAATATAGATGTTAAATCGAAGCTCATCCATAGATGATTAATTTGATATATTATATATATAAAACTGATAAAAAATACAAAAGTTATTAACTTTTAAAATATATTTACAATTCAATAGTTATAATAAAGAATGGCATTAAAATGCAATTAATACATGTAACATGACCATAAATAATCAACATATTTATGGATAATCCGAACCTAATTATTTTGGATTGAAAGTAGATTAAAATATACCAAGTCTAATAACGAAGCATGTAATTTTGCTACATATGATCCTGAAGCAAACGAACCTGCCACTTAGGCTCAGCACGTTCTGAATTAATATATAGGGAGATGGGTGGAACCTCGGTATTAAAAAAACAAACAATAATGGGGTATTATTCGAAATTTGGCCCAGGGCCTAAGAATAGTTGGGACCGGCTCTGACCAAATGACCTGCCAATAAGGTAGAGAGCTTAACGACTTGCCATTGAGGTCGAAAATCGAATGACATTCCATTGAGGTAAAAAAATCAAATGACCTGAAACCGAGGTAGAAAACCGAATGACCTACCACTAAGGTAGAAAATCGAATGACTTGCCAATGAGGTCTAATACCAAATGACCTGCCAATGAGGTAAAGAACCGAACGACCTGTGTTGGTGATCATAAATCAGGTAAAAGGTTAAATTTTCTATCTATTTGTTGGTGATCATATGTGTGTGTATCTAAATGTATCTCAGGCCAAGAATTGAAAACTTCAGTGATATAGCTATGCTAATAATCTCGGGCCCTAAATAAAAATATTTAATCTGAATTAGTTACTGTTGTTTACATTTTACTTCAAAACTGCAACTTGTACACAAGAGCTTCGCTATATCGTTTTTCAATGAGTGCCAGGTGAATCTGTTTCCACTTTTTTTCCCCTTCATTTAAATAAGGTTATATGTAGTGAGATTTTTTTTGGTTGCTAAATTTTTTTTGCTCTGGCTACTTGTGCCTTTTCACACTCCTCGAGCTGTCCTGTGATAGGTTCTGTTTCTTCTGCTGCAGTCAATGGAATTCGCGACTTTGTGCACATAGAGAACTCTTTAGACCAATGGAATTGACGACTTTGTGCACATAGTTATGTACTTTAATTGTCTGGGCGTAGATGTCAAGTGTTCTTAGAAAACACTTTATGGTATGGGGAGTCCTGTATACATGAAGTTCTCATATTCATTTGTTAATTTGGTTTAAATTTAAATTAGTATATATATGAAGTTATGAAATGCATTGGGTCAAAGCGGAGGCTTGAGGCCGAAGTAGAGGTTTAACCTTTGGTCAAATCAAAGGTCTGAGGTCGCAGTGGAGATTTATGTTGTAAAAAATAATTAAATGATATAAACGACGGATTAAAAACAAGTTTCAACACATATACGTACTAAGAATGGTAAATAGAAATCACAAACATCAACCACGGAAACGTGAGATGAAACCAGATTTCTATTAGTAAATAATTTTATTATAAAAATAAAACTTAACTGACAGTTCTATGTTGTCATAGAACACAAATAGCCGAATCACAGAAAATCTGTTTGCCTTGAAGAAACAGACACCCCGATACTGTGCAACGAGTACTACGCCTTTTCTCCCAGGATAAGACGGCTCAAAGTGTGAAGACTGCATTATCTAACACACTCACCTCGATCAAAATCTCAGTCGCCAAGAACCCTTAATTTTTCTAAGTCTTCGAAGGATAAAAGAGAATATATGTATATGTTCCTTTTATTTTCCTTCACTTGGTGTGTTCTTCCTCTTAAGCATGCATGCACTATTTATAGTGATCATAAGACATGCTTGCAATCAATGAAGATAAGTTCATTTAATGCGTTCATTAAGACAAAAGTAATGAACTATGAGTTTCATTCACACTTCTCAAACCGAACAAACATAATGTTCGGTTATGTTTTTGCCAAAATGCTTTGCCACAATGAATTTGGACATTCACATTTGCAACATTAATTTTACCATTTACTTACAACATTAAACACACCATCTAAGGATTCTCATACAATTTCTCTTTTCACATGTAATTTTAATTACAACAATTTAACCTTCAATTTCTCACCCCATCATCTCCCAACTTACCCCTTCGTCTCCGCGAAAATCCCTTTTTCAAACCGAAACCCTAGTCTCGGCGCCGGCGATTCGCGCCTCTCAGCATTAATCCGACTTGTCGGTGGACTGCTCCCTGATGCGTGTCCACGCTACTGGTCGCGGCGCTTCTACCTTCGTCTTTTTGGCCGAGGAGTGTGGATGGAGGACTTCGGCGGATTTCGTAGATCTCCGATTGAAGGCCGCCGGAGCTCCTGGGTGGAGAGGCTGGGTGGAGTGCGGCACCAGTAGCTGGTCGCAGCTCAAGATGCTTGCGTTGTCCTTGTTCTGGTGTCTCCCATTTCCTGATTTTGCTGACGGCCTCGTCTCCGGTGGCTGGGGTTCGTCTTTGGGAGCTGGGTGGGGAGCTCGGGTTCGTGATCTGTTTGGGTCGTCTCTTCTCGCTGGACTTAGAGGTCAGCCCGGCCGCGGATTTTTGGCTTATGCCGGAGTTTGGGCACTGGCACTTCTGATGTGCGGGGGTTTTAGGCCTGGGTTTGTCCTTGCGGGTTGGGTGGATAGGCGATGCTTCGGGTTGGGTTTCGTTTTTTTGAGCAGGGTCGGAGCGGCTGAGCTTTGACGTCATTCGCCCCTTTCTCCCCTTCTTCTTTTCTTGAGATCGTGGGAGGCCGACTGTTCCCGGAGTTGGCTAGTGGTGTTAGGCAGTTTCGGGGCGGTTCCGGATTGGCTAGTGGTGTTAGCCGGTTGGGGGTCGATTGTGGTTTCTTGCGATTGGTGTGTGGGTCGGTTTTCTCGGATTTTTCTGAGGTTTGGGTCATCGTCTTTCTAGGCCTTATGCAGTGGCGAGCGTGGAATCAGAGCTTCGGAGCTCTCCTCGGAATCAGCTTTGTCTGCTGCTCTTTTCGGGTGTATCTGCTGAAGGAGGCTTTGTTTTTTAGTTTGTAGTTTTTTTTGTTCTTTGTTTGTTTCGTTTGTTTGTTCTTGTTGTTTTGTGTTGTCCGTGTTTTAGGTTTGGGCCGTTGGCCTTAGTTAGCCCGAGTGTGACTTAATTATCCTGTTGGGACCGCGCACTCGGGCATTACCTTGTTGGGGTCGTTTGTAGTGTTTTAGTGTTTCAGTGTGGTTGTGTTGTTTGAGTTTTTTAGGTTCCCTGTTGGGGTCGGTTCTAGGCAGTCTTTAGGCTGTCCTCCCAGTTTTTTAGCTGTTGGCTGGTTGTATTCAGCCGTTGGCTGTATGTATTCAAACTAGTGGTTGTACTTTCGCACATTTGTGCTTTTTTATATATAATATCTCTATCGTCTCGGACAAAAAAAAAAAAGAAAAAACCTTCAATTTCTCTAATTAGGTTGTTTGGTTAAATGTTTCAATTAGCTTCCGGCCAAAAAATCTCAAGTCGAGTAGAAAAGATTTCTAGAAGAGACGATTCTACATTTTTCCTAATAACAATTTTCAGTATATTCTTAACACCGAACCTGAATATTTAATTAAGAAATAATTATGGTGTTGCAGGTGACAACCACTCGAGAAATGATGGAGATGTGGATGAGAAATCAAAATAGGTTCGGGATATTTTACAGTTAGTTCTTCGCTAAGGCATGACAATATCTTTTAATGTTCTTATAATGTCACATGGAAAGCATCTTTTGGTCTCTTTAAAACTTTCAGATGGTTTTTCAATACTATTTTCTCAATTGCAAACAACTTCAACAGCAGTTTATGGGAATCACCTTTACGTTGCAAAATTGGTTATATCAACGGTTGGGAAAGGTAATACATAATCGTATATTTGCATTTGAACAAAGATGGATTTTCCTTTAATCATGTTTTCTGATTTTGGGTGAAATTTATATTTGTATGGGAATTTCACATTAGATAACTAATCTACTCTTAACTGGTTGCCGATAACTGATTGCATGAGGAGACTTTTGCCTCTTCACTACTGGAAGAGCTCAAGAACAATAAAACAAAATGTTTTGAACTACTGGAGATTGTTGGCCATGTTGCTGAGTTCAGGTACGTTTTTTTTTTTTTTTGGCATATTATAGAGTTGTGACTTCTATTAAGATTGCTATCTGACTTATGAAATGTTAATTGCATCTATAAGTAGAACGGAGTCATGTGTTGTGTTCGTGATCAAAATAAGAATCATGTAATCCAAAAATGCATCGAGTGTGTTCCTTAGGATCATATTCAGTTCATTGTGTCTATGTTTTTTTGACCAATGTGATTGTGTCACAATTCAATTTGATAGTGAGTTTTGGAGCATTGTAAGGATAAACTCAGAGAAAATCAATGGAAGAGATTTTGGGTGTTGTACGTATGTGTTACGATCGTGTATCAAACGTGAAGACAATAACGAAGATTGTGTTCACCCGCGTTAAATGGCCGTCGGTGGACACGAATTTTGGCGCTCGAAAGAGCGATTTTCTGATTTATTATTGCATAAAAGATAAAAAAAGTTCAACATTCCCTACAATAGTTTTATCTTGAAAGGAAAAATAACTGCCTAATGCTAATTGAAAAACTGACATAAAACTGCAAAGAAAACGATTAAACTGCTGCTTCTTTTCTTTAGCTGCTATTCTTCGTGGCGTGTTCTTTATCACGGCGTGTTCTTCCTAGGTGTCGCGGCACGGCAGAACGACGCGGCGTGGTGCATAAACTTCTCTGCTATCTCTGTCGGCTCGTGAAGACCTCCGCGATCTGCTCCACGGCGTGGTAGGTTGGAAGCATCACGGCGTGGCGGGGCCCGCGGCGTGGTGGTTTAGAGGGCCGTCGTCTCTGTTGGCCCGTGGTGGTCTTCGCGACGCAGAGGTGATGCAGCACCGCGGCACGGTTGTTCCTGCGGCGTGGAACTTCCCGAGGAGACCTGCTGCTCGATTATGAAATCTGCTCTTGCTTTCAACTCTTGTCCATTCTTCTTGAGGCGAGCTCGTCGGGCCCGATTGTACGAATTTTTAAGGATTCGACCCTCGTTCGCAACATTCCCATCCCCTTCAAGTAAATCCTTGTCCTCAAGGATAAAGTTTGGGAATTGATTGCGAATTCTTGTATATTTTCCTAAGTCGCTTCTTCTTCCGGCAATTCTTCCCAATCAATTAACACTTCCCAACGAAAGCACCCAGCTTGCTTTATTCTTCGATACTCCAATGCTCGACGAGGTCGTACAATAATTTGTCCCTCTTGGTTTACCGCCGGTAATTGAGTATGAGCCTCATGGTCAACGCCTAAGCTTCTTTTCAATTGTGATACATGGATGACTGGATGGATTTGAGACTCCACGGGTAATTCTAGTTTATACGCCACTTCACTTATCCTTTCCATGATCTTGTAAGGACCATAAAAGCGACTCCCTAGCTTGTACAATGCCTTCTGAGAGATGGTTTGTTGGCGGTGGGCCTTAACTTGAGATAAACCCAATCACCCAGCTCAAATTTCTCTTCACGTCTCCCTTTGTCCTAATACTCCTTCATTCGGTTGATTGAGCTATACAAGTTAATCTTGAGCTCCCGGATCATCAAGTCCCTCTCCATTAGCTCTCGGTCGACCTCGGCATTCGGCGATTTTCCCAACGGATAGACAACGAGTACTGGTGTCGCCCGTCCGTAAACCAATTCAAATGGAGTAAACTTGGCAGATGCATGATATGTAGTATTATACCAAAATTCAGCCCAAGGAAAAAATTCCTCCCACTTATTTGGAAACTGATGGACGTAACATCTAAGGTATTGTTCCAAGGTACGATTTGTTCTTCAGTTTGGCCGTCCGTTTGGGGATGGTATGCCGAACTCATTGCCAATTCTGTTCCATGCATCTTGAAGAATTCCTTCCGAAAATTACTTACGAAAATTCGATCCCGGTCGAAAACGATAGATCGAGGCACACCATGTAATTTTACCACATACTCCACAAACAACTTAGCTATGGATTTTGCCGTGTAAGGGTGTGTAAGTGGAACGAAATGTGCATATTTGGTGAGTCGATCCACCACCACCATTATTCCATTAAACTCGTTCGACTTTGGTAGCCCTTCAATGAAGTCCATAGAAATATCCTCTCAAATACGATCGGGTACCGGTAGCGGTTGCAATAATCCACTCGGTCTCCGGGAATCCGACTTCACCCGTTGACAAATATCACACTTCATCACACAATCTCGAACTTCACCCTTCTGTCTCGGCCAATAAAAAGTGTTGGCTATTCGCACCCATGTACGGTAGATTCCCGAATGCCCTCCGATCTTTGACTCGTAAAAGTATTTAATGACCTTGGTCCTTAATTCATCAATATCCGGCACATAAACTCTCCCTTTGAACAACAACAACCCTTCATACAAATCATAGTCTTGAGCCTCTTCGTCTTGTGCTTCCCTCATTCGACGAGCCTCAACACAGAATGTATCATCCAAGTGGGCCTCCCGTAGTTTATCCCATATGTCCCAAGTTGGTCCGGAAATGGATTGCAGCTCACCAACATCGGTACGGCATGATAATGCATCCGCCACCAAATTTTGGCACCCCGGTCTATAGCAAATCTCAAAGTCGAATCCCATTAAATTTGATATAAACTTTTGTTGCTCCGGTGTCACAATGCGCTGCTCTAGAAGATGTTTAAGTGGTTGTTGGTCCGTCACTATCCGGAAATGTCGCCCCAGAAGATAAGGTCTCCAAACTCGAATTTCTTCTACCACCGCCATTAATCCTTTCACGTAAATCGACCACCCAATTCGTGTGTTTCCCAAGGCTTTGCTTAAATAAGCAATAGGTCGACCTTCCTGCATAAGGACCACCCTCATCCCAATATCACTTGCATCCGTATGCACCTCGAACATTACGTCAAACTTAGGCATAGCCAAAACGGGAGTAGTGGTCATGGCCTCCTTGAGTTTTTCGAATGCCTCTTCACTTGCCGGCGACCATTTGAACCCACCTTTTTTAGTCATTTCTGTCAAAGGTTTGGCAATCGACCCAAAAATCCTCGCAGAACGACGTGGCGTGGTGTATGAACTTCTCTGCTGTCTCTGTCGGCTCGTGAAGACCTCCGCGATCTGCTCCACGGCGTGGTAGGCTAGAAGCATCACGGCGTGGTGGGGCCCGTGGCGTGGTTGTCTGGAGGGCCGTCGTCTCTGTTGGCCCGTGGTGTTCTTCGCGACGCGGAGGTGATACAGCGCCGCGGCGCGGCAGTTCCCGCGGCGTGGAACTTCCCGTGGAGACCTGCTCGGTTATGAAATCTGCTCCTGCTTTTAACTCTTATCCATTCTTCTTGAGGCGAGCTCGTCGGGCCTGATTGTACGCATTTTTTAGGATTTGACCCTCGTAACAGGATCAGTATGGAAAATATGTCGTCCATGTTGGTTACATGTTTTTAATAGAACTTTTTGTCTTTGTCAGGGCCTTGTGTATTTCTTTGGCATTCTGGAACTCTATATCAAAATGAAGCCTATTGCTTGATTTGCTGTGTTAAGTATGTCTTAACTTCATTCCTTAGAGGTTGCTCTTGTTCAGTGGGATGTTAAAGCTCTCCCCTCAATTCAGATATTTTGTTTGCAATCGAGCAAAGTGTGTTTAACATTCTAAGCACCACTTGACAACTCAACTTTTGACATGTCCCCTATTTTTTTTTTATTCGAAAAGAAACTTATCATTAACAAATCAACCAGAATCTAAATCAGTACAGATAAGTTCCTTAAGCCAATGCGGGAAAACATCCACCTCCCATAAGAAAGGAGAGTTTGAAAAAGAAGCAAAGCGTGCAAGAGCATGAGCGACATTATTGGTCGAGCGTCGCATATGATGAAGGTGTCTAGCCGCTGCTGCTTGAGACATAAGAACATCAATATCTTTAGACCATGAACGGATGTAGCCAATGGGTTTGCTAGAAATAAGAGTGGGAATGGGTTCTCGTCTGAGGAGGAGCTTAGGTCTGATCCCAAGTATCTGTCTTATTATTACTCTAATGTTGGTGTGGACCCCAGGCTGCCCCCTCCTCTGTTGTCGACGGAGGATTGGAGGTTTGTTCAGAGGTTAAAATCCTCGAGCAATCCCTTTTATGATTTTGAGGCGTACTTCACCTTGGAGAAGACATTGGACTTCATCCTTTAGAAGAATAAATGGCGTTAGAATTTGTGTCAAATCAAATGTTGCATTATGAAATAAGTAGAAAGACTCAGAAATCCTAGGACCTCCTATGTAAGTATCCACAGCTTGTGTTCTCCGTGAACTCATACACGAGAAGCTTTTCTTCTTGATGAATACAATAGCCGAGTAGCTTGATGATGTTAAGAATCGGGAAGGCAATGAATCTCGTTCGTGAATTCAACGAGGCCCTGTGTAGAATCCTGTCTAAGCCTTTTGACTGCAACTAAGTGTCAACAGTCCCTTTTACAGGATGATAATTTTCATTTCAGTTATGTTCGCAAAATATTTTCACTATCCGCAAGTGTACGGTATAGCTGTAGTGAGTGGCGAGCAAGGTCGTATTCCACAGAGATTGTTGTCAAAATTAACTAAGTATCAAAATGTAAACGATTAAATATTATTTAGTCTAATGCAAATTTGAATGGTGATTTTATTCTAAACTAATGAATGATTGCAAAATAAATTCTAACACTAATGAAGGCTTGTTCTAAGATAAATCAAGAATGAGAAAATAGATTCTAGGTTATGCTTTCCTCGGGATTATTCTAACAAAAATCAATTATTCATTCAAACCTTATTTAATTCTACCATTCGTAGGGATAATCACTAAAGTAATTTACACCTTTCTCTCGAACAAGTTAAATTGTAGATATTAACTGTTATCTATCTCCTCTCGGTCTCAAGATGAACAATCAACTCCCATAAGCTCCTAAGATTCTAGTTCCCTCGCAAGATTCTATCAACCTCTCGGTCTGTTTAGTCTCTTACGTTATGAATTTCCCAATTCTAGCAATCAACTATCTCCTCTCGGTCTCAAGTCAATCACAAATATGCATAAATACGGGCCCTTATATTCACACAATAAACAAAAGCACAAGAAATTGATAAACGAATGATAAACCGGAATGAATAAACAAAATCACTTCATAAAATAATCCGAGTACTCGCAAATCCTAGAATCCCTAAAAGGTTTAGCTACTAAACATATTCTCAAAACTCAAAATAAATATATTCATGAGTTCAATGAAGAAGAAAAAGAGAAAAGAAAGAAGAACTATTGTCGCCGTTAGTTCCCGGATCTTCAATCTTGACTTCCTCGAATCCCTCGTGTGTTTCGTGCTTTCTCTAGGCCTCCAATGGTGTCAAAAGTCCCAAAAACGAGTTCCTCAGGCCTCTTTCATACTGTAGGGTCATTCAGGGTCGAAAAAGGGAAGAAAACGCATAAGAATCCTATTCCCCGCAGGTTTGGTCTGCGCGTCACACGAGTCGTGTGGCATGCCACACGAGTCGTGTGACTTTTCTCCAATTTTCTGCAAACTCCCAGACTCACACGAGCACTCACACGACCGGGTCACACGAGTCGTGTGAGGTCACACGACTCGTGTCCCAACCCACACGACTCGTGTGAAAATGCCGTAGCTACATCTCCTATTTCTTCAACCCACACGACCCGTGTCACTATCCACACGAGTCGTGTGACCTCTTCTGCACCCGTTTTCGCCGTTTTTCGTCCCGATTCCATTTCCAACGCATTTCCGGGCATATTTCCTGCAAAAACAACGACAAAAGCACCTCTATCATAGTTTAATAAATAAAACGAAATGGTGCACAATCACACGATAATCATGGCCAAATATCACTATATATCACTCATAATGCATGAAAATATGATGAATGTCAACTCCCCCAAACTGAAACCCTTGTTCGTCCCCGAACAAGAATAAGAAAATCAGAACTCAAGCATAATGAGTGATATCAAACTAGAACAGCTTCAAGTTATTCAATGCAACCAAGAAAAATTCAAAAGATCATAGTCATCATGCTTTGACTATTAACTTGTATCCACCTTGAATCAACGAACTCTCAAATAGGAATATATAAGTGCCTCACTCACATGTCATCAATATATAAAAGAGAAGGACACGCTCAAGTCACATTGAACACCCAGTTAACTATATGTTTGCCCATCATCTAAAACTCTACTTTAAACACAATCAATAATCATGAGCTTTAAATCAAAAGGTCTTTCCAGGTTGTAATGTAGGCTATTTGGTCAAGGGTAAGATATATATATAGGTTAAGTGGCTCAAATAAACAATCATACCATTCGAGCAAATAGACTACTCGACATATCTCACTCTTCCTCTCTAATCAACATGAAGTCTCTCAATCCCAAACCAAAACAACCCATACACAACTCATGAATGCTCAAATCAAATTACAAAGGAAGTACTTGACCATTTATAAAGGAAGTACTTGACCATTTATTTTCTCTCTTTTTTTGTTTTTTATTTTTTTTCTTTTTTTTTTTTTTTTTTTTTTTTTTTTTTTTTTTTTAGAGAGTTCCATTTTTTTCCAAACAAAATCAAACTGCATGGACAACATTCTCTAGGTATAAACGTTGGAGGTCATCCAAGTGTCCTAGAGTGGTTTCCCATTACTCATTACACGTCAAAATAAATCAACTAGTAAGAGGAGTAGAATCCCAACAGTTCGACTTGCGAGCTCTCTTTATTATCTTTTTCGGTCAAACACAGTAAATGCAACTCAATTACACCTCATTCCACACCCAATCATCCAATAAATAACTCCGTTATCCCCATACTTCCCAAATATCAGTCAACTCTCAAAATAAATAAGATAAACCGGTTGACAAGAAAAAGGCTTAAGGCTCAAACGGGCTACTAGTGGAAAATATTTTTAAGGACAAAGAACAAGGCCAAACGAGCTAAATTTAAGAACCGCCTAAATCATTTTTAAAGCTCAAAATCATCAATGCATTTTTTTTCAAGTGTAGAATCAAGGCAAATTCTAATAACTTAGATATTCAATTGACACACACAGACAATGAATAAAGGCTCAAATCTCACTAGGCTCAAAATATCGCTAATTCAAGGCTTCACAAGCATTTTCATCTAGTCATGACTTTTACAATCCCATCACAAGTTCTCAGCCACATCAAATCACAATTCACCATTCAAGTTATACATACCATCATCAAATCGAAAGCCCAAAATACACAAGAGACTGACTCATAATAAATCCTACTCCTAAAAAGCAAGTAAACGTGCTCAATAAAAACATAAAAATAAAAATAAACTAATGCAACCTACATGAAATGCAAGATAGATGGGATAAGAACCTAAGATATGCCGCACCCCTCCCCCAAACTTATTCTTTCGAGAAAGAACAAATTTGAAGAAAAAGTGGTATATCTTAGGGGACTAACTTCCTGAAAATCACGGCGGAGGAGGGGGAAAATTCCCCTCGTGTCTCTGCATCCAATCGAACAGCTGCTGGAAACTGCTGTTCATCCGCTCCTCCAGCCGAACCGCAGACGCACGGTTCTCATCCCGCATGCCCCGTACGTCCGTCCTAAGCTCGCGCATCTCTCGCTCGAGCGTCAACATCCTCTCGTCCATAGTCGGCTCTCGACGCCGACGCCTCTGCCTCTGCTCAGCCGCTCGAGATGACTCCGGTCTATCCTCACGCACCGGCTGCTCGGGTGCTGCTCCATCATGATCTCCATCCTGAACTCCATCCTCGTGCCACATCAAGGCATCCATCTCTCCCTCAAACCCGGGCATCTCCTCCTCCTCCGGGTCCTGGTCAGGCAACTGTGGGGCAAGTTTTCGCAGAACTCCCACAGGCGGACACGTCGCTCTCATCTGCCGATGCTCCTCGGTGTCCATCAGTATGTTCCCCTCACGGTGGAGTCCCGTCAGATGTGGGTGTGGGAGAGGAAAATGGTCGACCATCTTCTGCACGAAGAATATCCGATCGTGCGAATCAGTCTTCATATATCCGATGTTCACCAAAGCCGACAGATCTAAGAGATCCCCTCCCGTGACACGCTCCCACCGTGAGTAGTCGACTCCGAGACGATCGGCGATAACCGTAATCACACCTCCGCACCGGAGTACGGTGTTGCTCGCCTGGCTCATGCGAGACAAATGCTCGCCCACCAACCGTCCAAGTCCTGGCCTCCGCTGCCTCATCAGACACCACAATATATAAACCTCGGCCTTCGTGATAGGGCCAGTCTCACGCCGTGCAAATAAAACACTCTCCAACACCCGGTGAACATAGCGCAAGACCGGGTTGCGAATATCAGCGGCTTTCGCTCCCCCACGTGAAAACTGTAACGGTTCGGCATCCGCTCCATCAAGGGTCAAAGTAATGGACCTCCAAAAGTCGGCCTCACTGTACTCAATCCTGTCTGCATAGTCATCCCCTCTGCCGAACCAAGCTGCTAACTGGCCCTCAGTCACCCGCCGAGGCTGATTATCCAGCCGGAAAGTATATTCCTCGAAAGTCGTCGTGGTGCCCCTCTTCACCTTAAAGGTGCTAAGAACCTCGAGCACCATCCTTCTGTAAGTACCCGGGCGCTCACGTAGCATGTCCGAAATCCCGAGCCGGTTGAATAGAGGCTTCACCGCCTCATGAATGCCAAGGGCACGCTCGGCTGTCTCGTCAGGATACCGAGTCGGTCGGATAGCCAGCTGTGCGAGTCGGGTCCAATTCGCTTTCTGCCAGTCGTGCTCCAAAGTAACTCCTAATTCGCTCCAGGGGGTCGGATTGGCCTCGACGTCGTCACGTCTCCCGACCGGTGGCAGGTTCGATGGACGGTTCGCACGAGGTGTCGCACCCGCACTCCCACGTCCACGGCTAACTCCACTTCGACTACGAGTGTTCATTCTTGCACCTACAATTGCAAAATTCAACATATCAACTTCAACATCATCAACAATCAACACAATCACCATTCATCAAAATACTCCACCAAAATCAAATTCACAAATATCAAATCATCCCCTCATTCAACAATAGTCACAAATCCTCTCCAAAAATCAACTCCCATCACAATTCTTTCATCTCCAATAGTTATATCACAAATAATTTAGCAAAAATCATTCAACTACATTCATTAGCTCAAGCAATGCACACAAATTCGGCAAAGATCGTCAACTCACAAACACATCTTTAATAATTCACCATATATCATTCAACTCTCCTCAACACACATAAAAAAATTCACAAAAATAATGAAGGCCAAGATCATATGCAAATAAGCTCAAGAATGATTCACCTAAATGCCCAACATCACCCCCTTCTTCATACTAAACAATTATATCGACAAAGCATAGGAAAAAGTAGGCAAATCCATGAAAAACAACTCGCACATAAGGTGTTCGATCAAAGCCCTCAAAGTGTTCTTAACCCTACCATCAAAATAATGCTCAAAATTTCGAAACCATACCTCAATTCAACCATCAATTCGCGAAACTACAAGAAAGGAGAAGAAATTTCGTACCTTAATCGACGAATTCGTGAAAAACCCGAAATTGGCAAACCCAAGCTCAAGAACACCAAAATTTCGCCTCTTTCAAGGGCCCAAATCCGAAAACAGGAAGTTAGGTTGTGTGTGTGTGCGAAATTCGTGATGAATTCGAGCAAAACAAGCAAGAAAAATCGAAAAGAAAGAGAGATACGAGAGAGAGAATTCGAGAGATCGTGTAGAGATGGGAGGTCGTGTGAAATAAAGTGAAGGGGAAGAAGGTTTTAAGAAGTACCTGAAGCGCGACACGAGTCGTGTCCTATATCCCACACGGGTCGTGTGGTCGTAAGAAGAGACGGCTAAAATTCAGCCCAGGTCGACACGAGTCGTGTCCATCTTCAACACGACTCGTGTGGCAACACTCGACTCGTGTGGCAACACTCGACTCGTGTCGCATCCGCACACGGGTCGTGTCAAAAAGCCGAGAGCGACATGAAAAATTCCGTTTTTTTCCCAGGCCCACACGAGTCGTGTCTATTGACCACACGGCTCGTGTCCATACACACGACTCGTTTCCTTTTGCCACACGAGTCGTGTCAAAAAGCCGTACCTGCGCCAAAAAAATAGATGTTTCTTCCCAGGGACACACGAGTCGTGTGTATAAGCACACGAGTCGTGTGAACCTGGAATCGATGTTTTTTTTTTTTTTTTTTTTTTATTTTTTTTTTTTTTTTTTTTTTAAATATGAATAAAAATGAAAATAAGCCTAGTCTAAAATAAAAATTATACACTAAACATTGGGTTGCCTCCCAAAAAGCGCTTAATTTAACGTCTTTAGCTAGACGACGTACCTGCTTAGCGTTATTCGTTCAGATAGACGACAAAGATCGTCTTGACTTGTTCTGGGCTGAAATATGGCTTGATCCTCTGTGCATTCACCACGAATGTAGTGCCGTCACTGACGGCTAATTCCACTGCTCCATTGCTCATCATCTTCGTGATCACGAACGGACCTGACCACCTCGACTTGAACTTACCGGGAAAGAGCTTGAGTCGCGAATTGAAGAGTAGAACCCGATCACCTTCAGTAAATTCTCGCTTCCGAATCAACTTGTCATGATATCTCTTCGTCTTCTCCTTATAGATGCGAGAGCTCTCATAAGCTTCCGTTCGAAACTCTTCCAATTCATTGAGCTGCAACCTCCTTTCGACCCCAGCCTTTTCAAAGTCGAGATTGATCTTCCTCATAGCCCAATACGCCTTAT